CTTGTGACAGCATCATTATCATGTGGTCTAAGTGTGCTAGTCACTAGGCTGACAGAAGCTAAAAAAGCCCATCTCCCTTCCAGAGAAATCAAAGCATAATCAGGGATATATGGGTATTTAGGTCAGGCAGGGGTGCAAAGAGCTCTCTGCTGAAGACTTGGTTGCAATCACTAGACCAGCAGTGAAGAAAACGGGCGTTGCAGGACAAAGTGACAGCCCCAAAATGCCAGTGGTCCTGGCTGGTCAGCAGCAACTAGAACAATTAAACATAGGGCTTGCTTTTCAGAACACAGGTTTTTCAAAGGCAGTGGGTTTAAAATGTCAGTGGAGTGGCACATTATCTGTACCATACTGCTATTTTTAACCATCCGTGGCTACATCCTCCTACGCTCACTTTCCTCCTGAGGGCTTCCACACCTTTCGTTTCCCCACTGCCACGGTCTCCCAACCTGTTCCCTCCTCAGATGATGTGCTCACCCTTGGCTCTTCTCCTCCCCGCTGGTGCCTCTCGCAGCACTCGCCCTCCGCAGCGCTAATTAGTGCCTCTGCTTCAAGCAGTGCATCCCTGCAAGTGACTCCTCACTCCTTATTTTGAGTTGTGCCCCAGTTATCAGCCAGGCTGATCGATAAGAAGGACGACTGGAGCTGGGCGGGCGACCCACGGCGCAGGAGAGGAGAGAGTAAGGGGATTAATTCTGGTGTGGGAGAAAAAGGGAGGTGTAACAGGAGGGGGGAGCCAGCTGCAGAATCCACATCTCCAGGGCAGAGCTGCTGTGTCCGCACTGCATTTTAAGGCTCACACACACCAAGACTGGAAATAAGCCCTCTTTATATTGGGTACAGTCAGACAGCTCGCTCCTGACGGGATGTTCCCTGCCTCCTGCCTTGTGGTACCCCCGTTGTTACTCAATCATTTTCCAGGTCCCACAGAGGACCCAAAGAGGACTTCTCCCTTTCTGTCGACATGGCAGCAGCTCCCCAACCCTTCCTTCATCCACACTCGTCAACGGCTCACTTCAGTTCTTTCGGTTTCCTCCTTTCCTTCCTCTTCTTTGATTCAGCCTGAACTTGCAACACAGAAATGAGGAGACTCTTATCAAATGCTTTCCCTGGCCCTCCTTCACATAAAGATTTCTCTTTAAACAGCGAGCTCCAGAGCTATCTCAGCTGTTCCTTCCTCCCTGCCCTCCCTGTACCTCATTTCAGTCATTTCTTCTGCAAAAATGTCACACCTTTTTCTGCTCAAGCTTCCTCTTCCTTTCCAGGGTAACCTATGTCCTCTTTGTAACTCCTAATCACCTTCCTGCAGGTGGACTTTCAGTTCCTCCTACCCTTTCTTCCATTGCCTCCTGTGCACACTATGTTTACTGTATTGACACCTTTGTCTTTTGTTCTCAATCCTACCTTGCTGTCTTCTTTCCTGTAGCATTTCTCTGCTTGACAAATATGTCTACTACATACAACCTCTTTTCTCACAAGAGACACATTCACATAGGTTATACAAACTGTTTATAAGGAGAGATTTTATGTGCCCAAAAGCACGTCCATTTTTCCTGACTTTGTCTGTTGGTCTAATATAAATGTGGCCTCTGCTGAGAAAACTTTGCCCTCTTAAATCCTTGATCATCATGGCTGCAAGCCCACAGTTTCTTCTGAGCGCACCTCTACCTTCAGCTGATGCACCTCAACTCCTTGGGTGGCACATCTCATGTCAGAGGTCAGTCCTCTGCAAAGGGAAACTCTTCCCTGATCCTGGTTTAAATGCCAGTTTTTAACAAACACCACAGAAAACTTCATTGAAATGGACCGCCTGTGTATTTTCATCAAATTCAGAAAAAAAAGCCCACCCCTATTCTACAAGAAGTTTCAAGGATGGTTTGAAAGATACACAAACCCCCCTGATAGACCACATCTTCAAGAGGGTCGGTGAAATAATATGACAAGGGTGGTGATTAACTCTCACCACAAAGGAAAATGTTGAGTTGATGTAGGTGGCATATAAAATCCCCCAGTCTCTTTATGAGTCAGGTAAGCTGCCAGAAAGCGGAGGTGCAATCTGTGGGATGGAGCTGTTTTCATTCCAGCCAGTTATTAGTACGCTTTTTGAAAGACAAAAAAAAAAAAAAAAGATTAATTATTAAATAAAATAATTGGGGAGGGGATGGCAGAAACAGACAAAAAGGAAAAAAAACTGTCTCTT